TATAAAGTGGAAAAATTGACTCCCTATTCTCTATTGATCAACAAGAAAAGTTGATTAGCTGCATTCCTAGGAAACCTGTAATTGCTATTCATCTCTCTCTTATTACACTAACACAAACTCCTCTTTCTTTCTCTTATCTAATAGTTTGAGCTCAAAACTCTGAAAAAGTCAGAAACTCAAAAAGACGCCTAACACAAGGGCGCAGTGGTGAGGTTGTTTTTGGAAGAATATTCTCTCTTTCTCCCTCTCCTCCTCATTAGCTGCTGTCGTTCTTCACTTGGGAATCAGCTTAAGCTGATTTTTGCATATATATGGGACTTTTCTACATAAAATATTCTAGAACTAACGACCAAGGGAAATATGTAAGTGGTTGTTCTTACATTCAGCGGATTTGAAAAAAATTTAAAAAATGTCGTAATTAGCTCAAAAAGCAAATACCATATTTTCTTCAATTTCAATTGAGGTTATGCAACAAACCTTTTCTCGCATTTCAGTTATATTAAAATTACGATCAGGCGCCTGAATTCGAACTTATTTTAGAAATTAGTCTCGTCTTTTGTTGAAAACGAATAACAATGTGAGAAAATTGCTCGAAAATTTGTAAAAATCTTCGTTTGAGTGAGGTTCCTAATGGGGGCCCTCAACGCCCTATTACTTTGCTTAAATCGGTAAGAGTCTGTTATATTCCGCTACCATTTTCCAAACTTTCATAGCGTCAATGTCCCTTTACGCAAAATTTTAAAAAGTCAAGTCCCCTCAACAATCCTCATGACCACACCCTTGAAGTTTTTTACTGAATTCGTGCAAATTGTTGAATGATTCCCGTGCAGGATCTGATATGTCAATAGAGGAATGTTTTTACCAGGTTAACGCATTATTTGTTGCAAAGTGCTAGTGTAAACTGATATTGACCACTGTGAGATATTCACGAATGTTTGTTTAGCGGCATTTCATCATTTTCCGTTTCCTCTTGCAACACATTTTCCGGGAAAATATATGTGGGCTTTGGGATACGTGACATTCTCCTGCAGATACTCTATCACTATCTTCTTCAACCCTCATATATAAGAATCCCAAGAAAATGCCCAATGTTAATCGCTATCAATTCTTACATTTCTAAACCTCTGTGGGCTTCAATGCTTTATTTTGAAAAGCTAGTTTGGACTTAGATTGCCACCTATATACCTATAAACTGGTTCATCCCTTTGGCGATTACGGTAGAAATACGGTGCAAATCAATGGCTTTAGTAATGTTGTCAATTACTCATGGCTCTGAAAAGATTTTTATCAAATCAAAGCAGAGAAGTTGTTTC